TTTTCTAATTTTTCTAGGACACATACATTTTTCACGCCACCGCACTCTACAGGTCCACTTTACCTGTCAACAACGATCGAAGATACTTCGATGATGATCGGAAGTCCTGCCACTCAACAGATAACTCAATAATTATATGCAGGCCACACACCGGTAATCTTTACCGATGCTGTGACAATGGTTACTACCCCTGTAACTGGAAACCCTTACCCTACCGACCTTTCTGTCATTTTGTAGCGTTTCTTGGATTCCACCATTAAACCATGGGTGCACGAAGCAATAACCGCTCGGGCTCAGGAATTCAGGACCACCCCGACGCTTCTTAATGACATCATCCAAACCCTAACTCAACCCATATCCTCTCACTCTCAATAGCAACTCAACCCAATTCTTACCCTATCCCATTTACCATGCCATTCGATGACCTAGCATCAATTATGCTAGCGAGAATTCTTGAAACCAAAGAAGCTCCACTCACTGACAAACAAAGAGCTCTTCTTATGGTACTTGAAACCGAAAGCACATGCAATGACAGTCTCCGCGGTCACAAACGTTCGCATGAGGACCCCGATGATTCGGCTCCTCATGAGGGGGGGGGGGGGGAATAAGAGGCAGCGGATACTCGAGAATGGTGCTTCATCTAGCCAATAACCCCAATCAGAACCCTCAAACAACCAAGATAAAATGCAAGAATTCTCTCAAGGATGCAGATTTTGAGGGGGAGTTTTCAAGGTTCTCCTCCCAAGCGCCAATCATCCTCAAAGGCATCCTACTGAGTGCTTTAGATGAGGGGGAGCACAGAGAGAAAATAGCAAAGAAAAATGTGAGATAAGTCCCAATGGCTTAGTAAACCCAACTAAGCCTACCCAAGGGACAAAGCTGAGAGTGAGTGAGTAACTGAGTGAACACTATGAGAGTGAGGAAGCAGAAGGCTCATGTGAACAAGAAAACAATAATCAATGACATGTCTGCTACCTCAATTGCGCTTTCAATTGAGAGAATTACTCTCAGTCACTCAAATACTCCGGACAATTCCCCATAGGTTCAGGACTGAATTTATTCAGATCCCAGGTAGAAGTCGCTGCATTTTGTTCAAACGGCGCATGCACAACCCTACCCTAGACCACTCACTTGTCTCCCAACAGACATGTGCTTAATCATATTTCACGGGGAACCTCATCTATCATTATTGTCTCCTTCCGAGGCAAGTGATACTGACTACAGTGGTCTCAGCCCCATGCCACTGAACTTTCATTGATCACATTGTGTCTAGTTATCTCGCTCCCAAATGTTTTGAATTTTCTAGGACACAGACACTTTTAGAGTCGGTTGCAGGTCTTCATGACCCGCGAGAACTTCCATAGGGCTCATCTACTATAGATGTAGACCAATGATTGGAAGGAAGTCCTGCTGTTGCAACCTAGAAATCACAACCATGTTCAGGCCATCACTTTAGAGTTTATCTCTATGGTGATGATAACGGGTGTCTACGCGACCCTGGGGGGCTACAAGGTTTTCATTGCTGATCTTTATGATCATGCCATAACAACCAGAGTGACATCTACTTCAGATGCTTCACAATGACTGGTTGGAAGTCCTGTTAGAACTTTATTGCTTCTATCATTTTACACAGGCCACACATAAGTGTTTACATTGATGTTGTGATAACGGAACACTATGGTGTCTCCGGTTTTTATCTGATCTTTTTTCCTTTTAGTTTTTGTTATCCAGAATAAAAGAATAAAGGCATGACGCCCCGAAGCATCGGATCGTCATGAGGGGGAGAATGGTCCACATGTTGTTCACTATCAACAAATCATTTTTGGACACTTCTCTCCTCCAGCACAAAAATCAACAACGGCTCTATACTCTCTCAAATCATCAGAAATGTCAAACCAGCTTCAAATCAAATGGTCAGCTATACTCACAAGTCAACCATCATTTTCCGCTGTGCCACCGACGAGTTCTCCTCAAAAACAATCTTTTTCCACTGTGCCATCTACACTTTGGAGGAGACAAAGGTCGAATACTCAAGTATTGAAGATGATTTTCCGTGTGCGCCTTTATATCAACCGAACACTTGTTCTAATGCCGTCATCGAACTTCATTCAAGCTTATCAAGAGCAACTTCTAGAAGGCAAGGACTATATGCAACACTTTGAAGATTCCTCAAACCCCGACATCAAGGAACAAATTGCCAAGAAGACATCAAGGGGGAGATTGCAAGGATTTCTTCAAAAAGCCTTCTCAAGAAACCAAGTTCAAAGACAAAGGAAGCTGAGTTGCACTGAATTTCAAGTCAAAAGAGGAGCAACTGGACAAATCTTATCTACGCTCTCCTCTACATTGCTGAATCAACACAAATACAAAGATATCCGTGCTGCAATGCTGATTCAACATGATTGAACACCAAGGGGGAGATTGTTAAGAATATTTATGGTGTCCAATCCTGATTAAATATCTTTGTATTTGTGTAGTTGTTAGTTAAATGTGTAATATGGGCCACAATTGAATATTAACTCATTAGCCTCTCTTGTAAGCCATAAGTTAGCCATCCTCTCCTATAAAAGGAAGCTAACTTATGAGAAAACCTAAGGCTTTTACAGATTATTCAGCGCATATTATTCTAGTGAGAAAGAGAGTCGAAACTTTGCTTCTCGATACCCATATTCTGTATTGTGAAATCATTGTTTGGTATTGAATCAAAGATGTATTCTTCTCTTCTCTATCACATATTGTTAGTTTGATTGTTGAAACAGGGAAAAACAACTTCTACTATAAATCACTTTTCCAATAATCTCTTAAATAAATCATTTTTCAAAGGCACAAGCAAATGCAAACACACCCGTAATAAGTAGAAAAATTTAGTACGAAGTATTATTTTAATTTATTAAATACCAGATAGACATTAGACTTGTTGTGAGACGTAGCGCGTTGGAGGCTTCTTTTAAAGGTTAGTATCTAGTTACTACACTTCCGTAGAAAGCCTATTAATATTTAGACATTTGGCATAATTTTGTACCCCATTTTGTTATTACACTAATGCTAAAGCCACCCCATGTTGTACCCCATTTTGTACCCCCTCCTATGTTTGTGGTTCGCAAAAGCAATGAGTAAAAATGGAGCAATTATTTTAATTGGGTTGGGTTTTTGTGAGCCACAAACATAGGAAGGGGTACAAAATGGGGTAGAAAATGAGGTACCTCTAGCATTTCTCTAATTTTTTAGGACTAGACATTCAAGCATTGTTGATGCTCTAAGATCTTGTGATCACGGAGTTTAAACATATGTTCCACTTTGTAAAAAAAATAAAACAAAAACGGGCCCAATCACATGTAATTTTTCCGTACTTTTCCCTAAAATATATTACGCCAAAATAAATCATAAATATTTATTTATGAATTATGTTTATGTATTTGTTTTAGTATAAAAACAATACTAAAACAGTACAATCGAGATTTGCTATCGAAGTTTGTTGGTGCAATGATAAAAATTATAAAACAGAATAGTTGGAGCTTTTTTAAAACACAAATGAAGCTAGATGAAGCTTTTTTAAAACAGAAATAAATCCTCCCAATTATGTAGGATTGTATTTTGCCTACTTCGGTACCTTTTCAATTTTAAAGGTACGGTACCTTTGCTGGAGTGGCCAAACAATAGATGGACAACTGGACATACAAAACACATAGATATAATGACGAGGCAATCAATTTAAGAAAAATAAATTTTGCACTTTAGTCCTTAAACAGATGGACAATAAACGACATCTTCAATTTTAACGGAGACATCTAATCCTGACCCATTCACTGCTCTCCACAGCAACCAACGAGAGAAGTGTCTTGCCGCCGTTGGCGGTTTCCTACTCTGCACGGCCGGGCCTCCACCGCAAGTCTCCAGCCAAAGAAGTACTTACCGGTTTCCTGGTCACCACCGCAACCACAGAAGAAAGAAGAAACAGTGTTTCCTTTTCTTCATCGCAACCTAAGAGCACCCCAATGGCTTTTCACGGGCTTCGCTTGTCAACGGACGTAGCCCAATGAATTGAGAATTTCAACGTGTTTGAAGGATTCTCTTCAACATATTCTTGAAAATTCTGTATGTATGAGGCTTATTCTTCAATCTAATTTAGGGTTTTTTTTTGTGTGCAAAATAGCTATCCAATATCCAATCAAAATGAGAACAGGACTTGTTTGTCAGTGAATAACTTTCACCTTATTCTATGGGTTTATTATACGAATGCAATGTAGTTCTAATGTATAGCCTCTTTCTTGTATTGTTTTTCCATCTTGAAACATGTGGTTACTTTGTTAGAATGCACTGGGAGTTCAGAAAATAAGATATATCATGCCAAGAATAGAAGTTAATTTAGTTTCTGAAGTATTGAATTAATGAATTGCTGCAGCTTCTCACTTGTGAAGTTATAAAAAGTTGTTCAAAGTTTCATATTTAAATGCTTTCTATTGTCACTCTTAACTAGATTTTCCTAATTAACAAAGTTACAACCTGAAACCAAATAGGAATTAGTTTCATGATTAGTGGAATAACCAAATAGGGACATCTGAAGTGTTTGCATAGAAGAGCTAGTTGTCCTGATATCCAAAAGCTTGTGACCAAAAGGTGACCTTGAGGGCACATTAATATTTCTATACCACTGCAATGTAAGCACCAGCTCATTTGTTTTATCTCTACAATTTGCTCAGACACAATCACACTACAATAAATCATTTGGCATCAAATTTTATCTATATGGTCCTTTTCCAAGGAAACAAAAAAAAGACATAAACATATGTCATATTAGGTTTACATATAAACAAAATTTGTCCAAATAGGTTCACAGTAAATAAATATTCTCTTGCTGCTTTGCCTGCACAAAACACACAGTAACGAGGTACGTAAAATTTTTGAAAGATGAGAAAGCTGAAATTTCATGAGAAGAAGTTGGTGAAAAGGGCGAACTTTCTAGAATGGAAGAGGGAACAAGGGCACCGAGAAGCTCTGGTCTTGTGTTGCTACCGCGTCACAGGGAGAGACGACTACAAGAAGTATTTGGGATTGTGTAGAATGACACCAAAGCTGGTAAATATTTTGAAGCAGATGGACGCGAGAGAACCTTTTCGAATTGAGATGACTGATGCCCTTCTAGAAAAGCTATACAACATCGGTGTTATATCAGAACGGAAAAGTTTAGCATTGTGTGAAAAATTATCAGTGTCATCTTTCTGCCGACGTAGACTCTCCACTGTCTTGGTGAGGCTAAAGTTTGCTGAACACTTGAAGGAAGCTGTGACATATATAGAACAGAGGCATGTTTGAGTTGGACCAGATATTATTACCGATCCAGCATATCTAGTTACCAGAAACATGGAAGACTTTATTACAAGGGTAGACACGTCAAATATTAGAAGAAAGGTCTTGGAGTACAATGATAAGTTGGATGACTATGATGCAATGAACTGATTCACAGTCATGTAACTAATACTAGATTTGTGTTCTTTTCCTTTTTATTTTCATCTTTGGACACTCGTTTCTCATAATGTAATTTTACTCCAAAATGCTTTCACGGCTTACTTTGAAGGCTTGACACAATCTAATGTGTTTATATTTATAAAAGAAAAGTATAGGTAGAAGTGTTTGTGAGTACTCTAAAAGAGGTTGAAAAGATGGAATGAAGAAATGCAAAAGATGGTATGAAGAAATGCAAAGGAGGTTGAATCTACTGTACGTGTGTGGTATGTGTTATAAGTTAACTGGTGTGCATAAATAGAGATAAATTTGGATCTTTGTATTTTTTGTCATTGAGATGTGCATAAGAATATGGTAAAACATGGTATTAAATGAATTTTATGGCTGCTGCAAAGTGAGTATATGTATTAGTTCAGATTGCAGAAATCTTAATTGTTGCGTGCTATTGTATAAATTCATATTTTGAGTATTGTTTAATTGTTGCATGCACATGTATAGTTCAGAGCTTGGAGGCACTTTAATTGCTGCAATTTGAGTGTGTTACATTCCATTTTTTGAGTCATTTAATTCTGAAAGCAATGTGCATTGATTTCATCATGTTTTGGAATGAAGCTTGAATCTTGAACTTGGTATTTTTTTAATGAAATACTTTACATTTGTTTGTCAAGCGTTACACAAAGATATATCCACTTTTTTTCTTGAACCATTGGCATTATTCACATCCACAATTGGAGTTTGCCATCAAAGAATCGTGACAATCTTCAATTGGCAGATAAGATGTAGCTTTTGCGGCACTGTATGATTTAACAGCTTCAAGCAAGAGTAAAATCAGAATATATATAATTAGGCACTAATTATGTTTGTGCATATAAGATATAGTCTTGAACTTGGTAATATTTTGATAATTTCATGTTGAGAACTTCATATTTTGATATTCACCTTTTTGTTGAATGTCAAAATATACAAAAATATACAGGCACTGATTATGTATATACATTTTCTAGTTGAACAAGAATGGTGCTTTTTTTTTCATGTTATAGCAGCTGAAAAATCTAGCTTGTTCCGATGAATCTTCATATATTTCACCCCCGTTATATATGTATGAACTGCATTTAGTTCTATCAGTAATATCCGAATAACCTACCACAATCTTTGACTAAGGCTGAAGCTAGCTAATACTATAGTAATTTAGAACTAGTGTGCTTACTTTGCTCTGATTGCCGAAGGAGAGGTTATATAGTTGAGAAAATGTATGAGGTATCATCAAGTCCCACCGGTGTGGGAAAAATTACTTGAAGTATATAAAACTTTTTTACAAAGGTGGCCAAGGGGATCTGAACACGGGTGGAGTTAAAAATTAGACAATCAACGATGGTTGTTGTGACACTAAGCTATAAGAAGTTCTTCTCATGTCCTTAGAAGTTTAGTAATTATCACTAAAACCTTTGAGGATAATAATAATTTAAAAAACTCGTATAACTTAATAAAAAATATCGGTTCGGTTTGAACCGATTCATTTACTCCAAGAACCGTTTGTAAAAAAAAAAGCGGGTCCCGACTTTCGGGTCCCGTTTATGTCGGTTCGATTTCGGATTTTTTCGATTCAGTTTTTGGTTTTTCAGTTTGAAATGCCAGCCCTAGATACATCGTGCTTACTACATCAAATGGCTTCTTGGACCATGGAGAAGCAAGGTGCAAGAATGTTGGTGGCAAAGATGTTTAAACATTTTATTAAAACATTTTAGAAATAATTCCACTTTAGGTCCTCCGAGTTTTGTGTCATTTCCATATTTAGTCTTCGTCTTTCACTTTATCCATTTTTGGTACCTGACTATTGGTTTTGACCGTTTTCAGTCCATCTCTGGGCATTTTTATTACCGGAAAAGGACTATATATGATCAAGAAAACAATAGTCAGGTACCAAAATGGATAAAGTGAAAGACGAGGACTAATTGTGGAATTGGTGCAAAACTCGAAGGACCAAAAGTGGAATTTCTTCAACATTTTATTAGAAAATATGTTGTTTTATCTGTTTTGTTTGAATCCTATATTCCTATTTTTAATCAAAAGTGATAAGTGGATCTTATTTTGGAACAATGTTTGTAAGGAATAAATGTAATTAGATTTTGATGATGCTAGGATTAGAATTTTAAAGTACCCCCAAATTAGATTTCATATATTAGTATTTTCTGTTGTAAGTATTAGTATAGTCGACAATCAGAGTTGCTCTCTTTTGGATCTGATCAGATTTGCTCTATGAGAACTGCTTTCAGAGATGCTCTCAGGAAGTCATCAGAAAAGCATCAGAGTTCGATGAATAGCCTCATCAGAACTCAACCTCTGAACAACATCAGAGCTGCTCATAAAGAAAGCATCAGAGTTCCCACACCAGAGCTCGACTTGAAGCTACATCAGAACTACTCATCAGAAAGCCATCAGAATCCAATGTATCAGAAGACCCCGATCAGAGTCCGACTAACACTTGGAAGAATTTCAAGGCTACTTTCAACGGCTGGGAAATTCATCAACGGCTAGAAGATATTCCGTCCAAGGAAAGCATTTAATGCTCATTAAATGAGCCTGATACGCTTTGGATTGATTGCAAATGATTGACCGAGAAATCTGGAAGATATATTATAAAAATAGAAAGCTTCCAAACCAGTGGTCAAGTTAACAGTACGTGCATTTAATGCAGTTGTCTCCTCCTCCAACGGGCAGACAACCCCAGTATATAAGCTACTCACCGAAGAACAGGAACATAACTTTGCTACAACTTTTGCTCATCATACTTCAAGCTCTCTTGAGATTCAAACTCTACAATCATCAACAAGACAAGCTTACGTTGGGAAGATTCAATTAGTCTTATCCTCCAAACCCTACACACAACAAAGTTCATCCTTTTCTTCAACCTTCAAGAACTTCAACTACATATCTTTTGTAACGAAGCAAGTTGGAGAAAATTCTGTTTTCAGAACATCTTCTGCAAAGAAGGGCGTCCAAGTAACTACAGTAGTGAAGTGGTGATACTTCCGGGAAGCTGAGTGAAAGGACCAGTCATCAGGAAGCAGGACTGCATCCCGGGTGACGACTAGACTTGAAGAAGGCGTGGAGAACTTCTTAAGTGCTAGGGACTAAGGCGTTGTAATTGATCTTTACAAGTTTAGTGGAACAGTGGACTAGAGGAACGCGTTGTTCCTTGAACCACTATAAAAACTCCGGTGTCATTTACTTTCTGCACTTTAGTTTTTCACTACATAACTCTCTAGAACTTGGACTCTGTGTTCAGCAGATCGTGTTTTCAGAGTTATCAGAAAGGCATTTGCCTTAGTATTTTTGAGGCTACCCGGAACTCTTATCCGCTGCAAGACCAGTTCTGATCATCAGAACTCGACCCTCTCTGATAAGTCAACTCTGACTTAGAGAAAAGTTGAAAAACTTTAATCAGTCTATTCACCCCCCCCCCCCCCCCTCTAGACTGATTACCAACTCAAACGGGACCAACAAGTGGTATCAGAGCCTCCTTGTTCTTGTAATCTTTTAGGTTACTCCTTGAACAAAGATCCACTTGTTTCTAGCCTCTTTATTTGCCAATTATGGATAACTCTCTTGCAAAGCATCTCATGTTCACAGATCAAAAGTATGATGATTGGAAGATCAGAATGAAGGCACATCTGTGTGCTCTTCATGATGAAATGTGGGAAGTCCTGGAGAATGGCCCCTTCATTCAGTTCATGAAGGTCAATCCTGCTCATACCACTGATAACTCTTTGCCCCAGATGATTGAGAAGGCCAGGTCTGAATGGACCAAGGAAGAAAAGAGACAATACAACCTTGACAACATAGCCAAGGACATTCTCTACAAAGCCATTGATGAAAGGTACTTCAACAGAATCAAGAAGTGCAAGACTGCAAAGGAAATCTGGGACAAGCTGGATGAGATAGGTGTTGGAGATGAACAAGAAAGGGACAACAAGCTGACCATAGCAATGAAAAAGTTTGATGACTTCAAACTTCAACCAGAAGAATGCATTGCCAAGATGCATGAGAGACTGCTGATCCTCATCAGTGAGATCTCTGAGCTTGGCAAGGAGCTTACTATTAAGGAGGTCAACCTGAAGATTCTCAGAGGACTGCCCCCAATCTGGAAGATGAAGGTTATTGCTGTCCAAGAGAGCAAGGACATCAAAACCTATCCTACAGAGAAGCTGATATCTGATCTCAAAGCTTATGAGTTTGAGATGCATGATGAGAAGGAAGAAGTTCCTGATGAGAGGACCACGACTGCTCTCACTGCTAGTACTTCTAAGGTAAACAACTTTGATCCTTCTACTCTTTTATCTGACGAATATATGGCTGCTTTTGCCAGGAAGTTCAGAAAATTTATGAAGAAAGATGGAAGGAGTCCATCTTCCATCAGAAGACCTCATCAGAAGACCAAATCTTCTGAAAGCAATGGAGAGTACCTCTGCTACAACTGCAGACAGCCTGGTCACTTCAAGGCTAACTGCCCCTTCCCTAGAGTGTCCAAGAAGCAAGGGCATGAAGAAGAAAAGAAACCTGAAGATCAACACAGAAGACGAAGGGCATTCGTCTCAGAACAAGCTGAGAGAGATCCACTCACTGAATCAGAGTCCAGCTCAAATTCTGACTCTGATGAAGCTTTCTGCTGCTTAGATACAGAGACCGAAGATCTTTGCCTCATGGCTCAATCTGATGATGAGGTATATTCAACTGCTGATTCTATTTCTTCTTCGGTAGGCACAGCCTTAAATGATGATCCAATGTCATCATTTTGGGAAGAGTTCAAAATTATCCAAGATACTTATTCTTTGGTTAAAGAGGAGAACAGTAAACTAAAGTTGGAAATCTCTGACTTAAGAAAAGAGACTGAGTGCAAACTTAATCTCTTAAT